AGCAAACACATACTGTATGTAGCTGCATGCAGTGTTTCTATATCAGGGACAAACCACACAAAGACCATCGTTTTAGATTAGGATAGTTACTGCCATAAAGCTGAATAAAAACCAAACATGTCCAATGTATTATGTGTACCTCAGTTTCCATTAAATGCATGGCATTGTTGTTGGTGTTGCCTGTGTGCTGCATCCGGCTCTGTCCTGGCAGGTGCAGTAAAGCAAGCTGTCTCTGTGGAAAGCGACCGGGCACACAGACTGATAAAGAGAGACAGCTAGGTCAAAGCACTGTGTTGGCATGAGGAGATTTTAATTGCTTTGTGTTGCACGAAACAAACTCTCCACTCTCCTCCTCGTCAGGCGTAGCCCAATGGAAATAAAGTCTCTCAATTATATTTTGTGGTTTATATTCATTTATTTTTACAGGGGGCAAAAGGTCTCTATGGCAAAAAAAAAAAAAAAAAAAAAAAAGTTGCAGGGATGAGATTTTGGTTGAGAATGCCCAACACATTTTTCAGCACTTCTTCATAAACCCAAAAGAAAGTAATCTAAAATATAAATTGGTCTTTCTTCCCAAGGCTGGATTGGCCAGCAGAACATCTTGTTATTACCTCTCCAGCCTATCATCTGCACCGCCACTTTTTGAGTGATGAGTCTCCTACAGGAACCAACAGCTGTATGTGCAAATCATGCATATAAATCAATTACCGGGGCCCTATGTACTTTAAATGCACCCATTAATTAAGCAATGTCAGACACAATGAACCATGAAGTTCATTACATTTTTAGCATTCAAACTCGGGATTATTTGAAGAGTGCGTGAGACAGGGAGATGGGTGTACCTAATGATTAGCCCCATGGCTCAAAGTCGGGGCAGATGCCAGCGGATGGAAATTTCTGGGAAGCTGTTGCAAGAGGAGAGAAGAAATGGCAGCGAGCTGTCTCAGCAATCTACGAAACACGGGAGGGTTGATCAAAAGGAAACAATCACTTGAAAGATATCGGTTCTGTCTTTGCCTACTTTTGAACTTCAAATAACGAAGCTCTCACTTTACTTTGTCTAACAACTTCTGTGCAAAATGTTGTCAAAGTCTCAAGACGGGTCATACCTTTCTGTGAAGAAAATGACAAAACTCCATACACAAGATTTGTCATGAACAGCAGCAACATGAAGGTGTTTGTGTACGAGTGTTTGTGTGACTGCATGTTCACGTGTGACCTCCATGATGCTTCGTGCCAGGCTGTAGTTTGGTTCAAGTTGCTGTGAGATGACAGCAGAGGTTGGGGGGGGGGGGTAGCGCAGAGAGAAGAAGCTGGGCCCAGCTGCCTGGCATTAAGCAATGACCTCTGCATAATGAAAGATGGCGACAACATTTCCCACTCATTACAAGGTTCCACACTGTGACAAGATTTGCATATTCATATATTTTTTCCCCCTCCACCTCGCCCTCCCCTCTTTTCCACCGCAATCTTTTTTCTTCTCTTCCTGTGAGCAGGACATCTGCCTCCCTGACACCGCTTTGGAAGAAGAAAAATAAATAAATATGTGTTCAGAGAGGCACATGATCTATCCAGATGCCACAGAAATATGGCACGATGTTGACATCTCAGAACACCCCGACCGTGTGGGTTTTCCGCGATTTAAGCACCAGGAAATCACGTTCGGGGTCAGTGAAGAAGAATACAGCTCGGGCAGAAAAACCTGACAGAGGTCCGGAATTTAAATCTGTTTTGCATATTATTTTTTCTACGACAGTGACATTAATGCCACCGTAATACTGGTGTTGCAGGTTATGCATAGTCAGAGTCAGGAGCAGATAAAACGTACGGCACAGAGGAGAAAACACCAGGACTACAAATACTAACTTAAGTTTTTATTGAATAAATCTTTTAAACAAAAGATGACATAATGAATGACAATGTGTTACATTTATTAATTTGAAGTTCAAGCTGCAAACATCTTTACAAAGTTGAAATTTTTTAAACATTTTATTTCTAATCACATATAGTATTTAATTTATTTAGTCTTCTTCACTGAGCCTTATGTGCAACACAGTTCATCACTGCTCATGTATATCTGTAAGTATTGTTCATATGTTCAAATATTCAACTCCCTGTGCTTGTATATAGCTTACTATTTCTTCAGATACCCTGAAACATATACTTAGTATGGTACGGTACTTTGTTCTGCTTAGTCTACTTTTTTCTATTTGATTCTACATTCTATATATATATTTCTATATTTCCGACTTTTACATTGTGTTTGAGAGCTCCTGTAATGACCAAATTCCCCCCCGGGATTAATAAAGTATTTCTGATTCTGGTTATTATATTTCAGAAAAGAAAATGGTTGAGTAAAAACTTTCCTCAGACTTAAACTAAGATCATCAAGAGAAAAAACAAACATTTTTCTTTTATCTATTAAAAGTGTGAATATATATTTAAGGTTCAGAAGAATTTGAGCTGGATATACTGTCAAACATTCCTGATGGCTGCTGTAATGTTGGTTTTCTCTGATCAAAAAGCATCAGAGCAACACGCCCTTCAAAAGCAACACATCATTACATTTCAACATCAAAAAGGTGCCATGAAAATACAGACATACGTATATGCAAAGACAGTAAATGTGAAAAGTTCTCCATCAAAAGAAATTCTCTGCCTTTAAAAAAACAATCAGGGAAGGTTGGAAACGTGGGGGGGGGGGGGACGAAGCAGCAAAAGTGGGCATTTGAATCCCTTTTATTTAGTTGGGTAACTTCAATTCAAATGAATCAGGCAGAGCTCGACCCGCCAACCGTGCCCGGAGAGCCGCCGATCTCAACGTGCAGCATAACGATCACCGCAGCACTTCTGAATGCAAACTGTTTTATGTGAACACCTCAAGCTGAGGGCTACATAAATATAGAATTAGACAAAGTGTTATTTTTTTCTTTTTATGTTTTCTTTTCTTGCTCTCCAGCAACATCCCCAGGTTGGCTTGGCTCTAAGCAGATGCAGGCTCGCACTTCAAAAAGTTGCAGCTCCCTTATGATAGCTCTGCAAAAAGGTTTTCTTTTAACTTAAATCAGCAAATGTGTGGAGCACAGACCTAGCGGCGTGTTTTCTCTCCCCTAGAAATAATTGCTCCCAGGGATCAATTTAAAATTTAAATCGTGGAGAAATGGTGTTTGTCATTAACAATCAAATATTTGAACCGTTGAAATACCCCTGCCCTCTCTGTGTCTGCACCCTTTGCACCCAGTTGGAAATTGTTGCAGAGGGCATTGTTTTGATGATGATGAAATGGAGAGTTGGTGAGAGCATCACACAAGAGAAAAGGCAGGAAGATGAAAAAAGCCATTCATCAAAAATTGATGATCAAAGATTTTTCACTACATGCAGTCAGATGCACATTGCAGTATAAATGTATGCAGTTTACCTGCATTGATTTAGATATTCAGACCACCGTCATGTCTTTAAAAAGGACATTTAGATGAATCATAGGGGACAGGAAAGCTGGGTAAAAAATAAACAAGAAAGAGTACAAACAGTATGGTAGGACAAATAGAAGGATGGAGAAGCCTCCTGTCGTCTCTGAGAGGCAGCGTCTCTGCTTAATGTTCATTAGGGCACTGATTGAATTGGGGGGTGTAGCACTGTCACTCTTAATGGAGTGATCTCTAATTGGAGCGCATTAGCTCCATAGGCTCTGGCTAGCGTCAAAGTCAGACAGAAGGACAGGATGCAACTAAACAAATGCTGCTAGTGCTCAAAGACACAAACAATAAACTACATTTATATGTAGTAATTTCATATACTAGAATCAAACTCCCTGTAGAGTGTTGCTTATTTTTTATTTTAAACTAAATGCAGGGAGATTCATCTAAGAAATGTATTTCAGAGTTTTTTTTATTTATTTCTTGTGTTAATGGAACTTTTAGTTTAAAAGGCCTCTGGCTCTATCAGAGCTCTACGGATCAGAAACAGAGAAGTTGGGTGTGTGTGCATGAATGAGAGAAATTGTGTTTTACAGTGTGTTTGTGTGTGTGTGTGTGTGTGTGTGTGTGTGTGTGTGCACTGTGAACCAGCCCCCCCCAGGACACCACTATGATGGTTTAAACATGGAGGTGAGGAGCAACATTAAGGCCAAAGTAAGGTGTGTTCTTGGTAATGACGAGCACGAATGGCCGCTATCGCCAAGTATCGCTAAGTTGATCCATAATGGCTGCCCATAAAGGAGAATCATCATCAATGAATATGACAGGTTATTAAGATACGATTTTAGGGAGGGCTATGGCTTTAGTATGATAGGTTAGCTATCTATAAAACCTTTAAAGCCCGGCCCTCAATGACACGAGTCCTGATTCCCATCTCCCAGCGCCCTGTGCCAGAGACACATGCTAATAAGCTCACAACCTTTAATTAAGCAATATGTGTAAGTAGGCAGCCATTATGGCCTGATTTGTGAGCCACTTCATTACACTGAGCACCGGCTAGCAGACACATATTCAATACAAATCAAGCTGGCCTGAATATTATCCTGTTTAATGTGAGGCCAATATTGATATTTTATCACTGGTGTTCTGATTAGCGACTTTTAGCATCTTCATCTTTCATTGTGTTGAGGCAGCACTGAACACTTGACGACCTGCATGCATTAGCAGTTTTGCTGAACATTGTTTATTAGGTTGCAAAGAGCTAATCAGGTCACACAGATTTGGAATGTTTACTCGCCTAGAAATGCAAAAGTTAAATAATTTACAACACTGTTTATGCTGCCTGTAACCCTCCAAAATAAAACTTTTAATAATGAGCACTTCTTTCTTAAATAAATAAAAAACAAACAAACAGAGGAAGTTCTTCTCCAGTGAACAACAGCTGCATTTTAACCGCTTTGGAAAGGTTCTTGAAAAGCTATCACTTTTACAACATTTCTCTTTAATATTATAATTCAGCTATGGAGACTAAAGACAGTTGAAGACTTACATCAGTGTCAAACAATCTCCTCCTTTGCTTTGATATCATTGGTTGAGGTCCTGCAGTGCAAAACTGGAGCCACACCCACTTCCTCCTACCGGCTCAACACGATGGCACCCTGAGGGAGTGAAACACTTGATGACACTAAGTCAATTCTGTTAAACAAACAGCAGCTAAAGAGGTCAAACACAGTGCGCATACATGAAAAAAAACATGTTTTTGTAAGAGAGTAAAATTTAGGAGAAGCATCAGGTTGACACTCACTTCCAAATAGTCTCCTCCTTTTGCGTAGCTGCAGTGGAACACTTTCACCTTCCTTGTGCTCTCTTCTGTCAGCAGACCCCTGACCTTGGGAAGACACTATCCTGGTGGAATTATCGAACCCCTCCATGTCCCCAATCACCTTCAGAAAGACCCAAGCAGACGAGAGTCAGCGAGAAATATGCAAAAACTTAACTGTAGTACTCTAAAAAATTAAACCCCGCCGTTTCCCGGAAACCCCGGAGTCGTATATATCAAACATCTTAAAGTGCAGGTTGAACTTGGATGACAGTGACTGAGATTGGCAGGAGAACTGCTACTTTCCTCGAGGCCTGCAAGTAGTGTTGTCATGCACAGTCTCTACCTCTGTCCTAGTGCTTCGAGTGAACTTGGAGAAGAAACAGAAACGGATACTTTACATGACACACTACCTCTCGTCCCAGAGGGGAAACAGCTCACACAACTCCGGGTTGGCCTACTTATGTACAGCAATGTAAAAATGCAACTAAAATCCTGCTGGTGCATGCGATAAAGTAAAATAAACCGTCTATTTGTGTTAAAAGAAATAAATATTTATCATAGTTATATGAAAAAAAAACGAATACACTGCAATTTAAAATACACACACATGAAGCAGAAATGTAACACAATAAAGGGTAAGATCAAAAAGATGTCTGCATTCTTTCCACATATCTTCATCTCTATATTTCATCACAGGAGCATCAAGTAGTCATGTCAAAGAGCTGGCTGGCTCTTTTCTGAAGTTGAAAATTACACAGATAGAGCAGCAATTGAGACAACTTGAAAAATGTGCTGGAGAGTGCCTCTTTATCTAAAACTAGTATAAACTTGCCAGATAATTACATGCGGTGTACTTTGGAGAAGTCCTCCTGCTAAGCAGATATGGCTGCCAGGGAGGCATTAATCTCCTCATGCAACATACAGTACGTAGCCAAGGACATTCCCCCTCTCTCTCCTTTCCTGTGTCTCCAATACACACACACACACACACACACAGCATACAGAGCACACTCACTTCCTGTATAAATCATATTCATATTTCTGAGGGCTGCCGATGACCTCACGGCAAATGAAGCGTGGGTCCTCAGCTCCGCAGCGGCAATCAAACGTGCGGCAGAGTAATTACAAAAGAGGGGTAGGAGGGAGAATTGATGCGGTTTGTCAATTGATGTTGCTGTGAGGTGTTTTTTTTTCTTCCAAAGGTTAACTTCTTCATATTCTTCGCATGCTAAATTAGGTCAATATTGGTCCGGCAAAGAGTCGCCGTCGTGTGCAGACGGATGGCGGGCTGAGTCATGGAAGGAAAAAGACAAAGGGGCCTTTTAATGAGAGATTTGATGGCATATCAAGATGATGAGGTGTCCTGATGAAACTCCTCTTTGTTGCAGCTCCGAGCTCCCTTTCTCATAATTATCATCACTGTATTTTGCATTTAAAAAATCAGCATATTTATCATTTTCCAACAGAATAAAGATCTACAAATGAAAAGGGATATCCTCTCCTTCATATCCTTATGAAACTATCTGCCATGCTGAGGCTACAATAATTTCATGCAATGCAGCTCGAGCCTTCCTATGTGACTAAAAAACTGCATACCTTTTGTTTCTACAAATGGTTAAGCACATCCCCAGAAAACAGGGAGAAAAAAAAAAAAAAAAAAAAAAGCACAGCTGAAATTGCAGAGAAAAGTGTTTTTATTTAGACAAGTCGCTGGAGATGCTCATCATCAGCGTTTTTTCCGAGCCATAAATAATTTGCGCAGAGAGGTAATATTCAAGCTGGCAGAGCCTTAGTTGTGCATCTTTAATGGAAGTTTTACAGAAGCTGAGCCAGTTCTTGCATATGCTGCAGCCTCCCATATGGAGGGAAGGAGACAAAAGGAGCACAGTTGGCTTGTCCTATCTTTTATAAGTCCATCGACACTTAAATGCTAGCCCCAGAGAAAAAGCGACACAGGGGGACATAAACCCACTGTGGTTTTAGGAGGGAAGATAATGACTTTGCCTGCATTAATTTCTTCATCAGCCATCTTGTTTCTTCAGACAGAGTGGTTATGAGGCCTTCTCTGAAGGTCCTAGGTTATAGAGATGCATTCCCCTGCATAATGTCGGCCTGAACAGTTGTTGTCAGCAGTGCTTTTTGTGAGTCGGCAGCTGGGGAACATCTGTTTATAGGTAATGAGTGTTTGAAAAGCTACACCTCACTTTACCTTTAATGTCTTTTATTGGAGCACACTGATGGGAATGTAGCTTTAACTTTTTTGTATTGTTGTGCTTCAGCTACAAGATTCTCGCAGCATGGTCAATATTACAGACACCTGCCTTGGGCAACACGCTGAATGAGAGCATATGATGGATCATTAATATTAACTTTCTTTAAACAGAATTCAATATGCGAGTCAATAAAGACTTCATTATCGTTATATTTTTTACTGCACACCCACAACTCCAAATTCTCTCCTATGTTGCTAACGACGCAGCACAGAAAAAAAAGAAAGAAGTTTCAGTCAACACTGCCGGTTGAATAATGTCTGAATAAACAACAGAAATATTTAGTTTCTCATGACTCTTGTTCGGCCCCTTTTTTTTTCTGAAATCAAACAGGACACACCTCACTGTTCTGTTACTTCCAAACAGTGTCGAGCAGTGTCTATAGCTCAGGGCACTTCTTCCAGGACTTGCTTTTTAAGGTGTTCATTTAGACAAATTTTGGGTGTAAATTTGAGGATATTATGCAAAGCTGCTTCCCCCTGGAGCTGTGGTCATGTTAGTCTAAGGGAGGAGCCGGTCCTCCGGGGCATTGGTGTCCAGGACACTGCCTGCGAAAACAAAGCTCTTTAAAGGAAATGAGCCATCAGTCAATATTTCCTCAGTAAATGGAAACAGACTTCTTAAGTAGCAGGATTAGTCTCTCTTTAAGTAAGTGGGACAGAGAATTGAGTTACGTTATTATGCAGGCAAATTCAGTTTTTCTTGTCACTTTGTTCCTCCTATTTTAAGTTTCAAACAAGATAAAAAAACAGCTAATATATTACAATTACCACGTTAAATACTACATATATAATTATAATAAGATGAAGAAAAAAAACAAGAAGAATGGGTAAAAAAAAGATTTCCCCGTGCATACATTGTCTAATTGTAGGTGTTTCCTAAAGGTCTTATATGTATCTTATATGTAAGAATGTCAAATGTACCTCAACATATTCAGCACAAGTATAATAAATAATATGACTTTTTATTGCTTAAAATGGATCCATGCAACATAATATTTGTCTAGCAACGTTGCAGTGTAACCACATCACCATAAAACATGCTATTATTCGGATAAGTGAATAAAGTAATAAGCATGTACAGGAAAAGCCCATAAAATCCCTTTAAATGTCATAAATCTAAGAACGGAGGGGGGGAAAACTTCTCTGCATTACTGTGGTCACTTGCATCTCATAGAGGAGCTCTTTCCCATTTCATTCTATATTATTTTATCTATTTCATTTGTATGGAAGTATCTGCACGGCTGTTATTTCTCTCCGAGGAGCTGTCACTTTCCATCTGAAGGCCAGTTTGTACACAGCACCCTGTCGCAGTGTGTGTACCGCTGCCAGAATTATATAAAGCGCTAATAAAATCAGCTCAAGTGTTCTTCCGAGTGCTGGAGATGCCCTTTGGTGATTCCTGGATCGTGCTCTATACATAAAACCAGTCTATATATTCAGGGGAGGATTAGTTTTGAATATGTAAAGTGGGGGTCCCTGCTGCGAGGCGAAGGGGAATGGCACCGTGCTCTCTCGGCGATGCCGTGTTATCGCTCCCGCACTACCAGCGGGTGAAAGAGGATGCTATCGGCACCACTTGCTACTGGAGGTCCCTGCCTGTTAAGTTGTAAGGAACAGACAGCAACACCCAAGGGACACAGTGTGTGTGAGAAAAGAGAGCAACCGAAAGATAGCGTATGTGTGTAAGTGTTTCCCAAGGACAGCTACAGATATCTTTCACTTAAGGTTGCTTCTATGAAAATCACTTCATAGTTTACAGAATGGGGAGTCAGCAGAGGAAGAAAACCATTTTGCACGGCAGAGATCGGAGGAACTTATCTTTTATTCACATAAGTTTTCTGTGTGTGGGGTTATGAGTGTTGTAAATCTGTATATGTGTGTTTATTAAAAGAATGAGTGTTGTAGCGCTTTATATTCCAGAACATTTTCTCTTTTTTCATGGTAAGTGTTGATATGTGTGTGTTTGTCTGTGCTGTTTGGCTATGAACAATCCCCCCAGATGTCTCATCTGATATGCACAGGTCTAGAGGCTACGCACACACAGACAGTGCGACACCAGTAATAAATATACCATGCTGTGTGTTTACTCACATAAGCTCACCATCACTCAAATTATGACGGAGAACCATTAGAACGCAAAAGAGCCTCAGAGCTAATTGTTAGCGCACATAACCCCCCCTCCCTACTCGCTCACTCTCCTGACATTCAAACTTCAAAATATTAATTTTGTCGAGACGATCCAGGTCGCTCTCGGGCGACTGACAGAATGATTGAGGAAAGGAATGACTTCTCGCTACAGCAGCAGTTGTCACAAAGCTCTACTTTTAATTAGGCAGCAATCTGTGAATCAGTCTGTTTCTGACCTGCCTGACTTGCAGGGAGTCAATAAAAGTTGACACAATTGATACACAGTAAACGAAGGGAAACACCGTGTCATCTTCATCAATGTCCTAACACAACGTAAAACAGGAGGAGACACTGAAGTTGTGATTATTTCAGTCGTGTAAAATATGACTTACAGGATGAATGAAGTTTTGATTGGTTTCTAAATCCAAATTCAAAGAAATAATTTCTTCTAAGTGACATTACAAAAACCCAGAGTAGCTGTTTCTTTAATTGCTTCCTTTTTCTCTCTTGAAAGAAGAGGAGAGAGAGAGAGAGAGAGAGAGAGAGAGAGAGAGAGAGAGAGAGAGAGAGAGAGAGAGAGAGAGCAAAGGAGGAAGTGCTTTGTGACTGTTTCAGTATAAATACATATTTATACATATATATATTGTCAACAATATGTAGATATCTCACCTCAATAATAGCCCCATCGGGTTGCCTGAGGAAGTGCCTGTATCTTTGTTTCCTCCCACTTAGGTTTAGGGTGTAGATTGTCACATGGGTGCTGGTGTCTCCCTCTGGGAGGACTCTGCCCTCTCTGGGGTATTCACTGGGGGGTGCAGAGCCTGCTGATGGGTCTTCCGCTGTCCATATATAGTCATAGACTGCAACCTGATCCAGTACAAACATGAAGAGAGATCATTGTAGAATTAAAGCATATACATGTAGATTGCATCATAGTAAGGATCTCAATAGTGTTGCATAGACAAGTTGTAGTGTTGGAGAATCAAACCAGGAGGCAATACATGGCACAAAACATAATAATATATGAAGGGAATAAGTAAGAGGGATGTTTATAAGAGTAATGTTTCTTACTGGAACTATATTCCATTGATAAAATTCCAATATCAAAAAAATCCATGTATTTTGTTTCAAATCATCCCAACAGCTTACCTTGTAAAGTGCAGGATTTTCATTTTAATTACATACAACTGCAGCCAGCAGATAAGCACCACAGGCTGCTAATTCCTAGCAGTGCATGAGTCCTGTGGGGCCTGATCTGCGGCAGGTAAAGAGACAGGTTGTGTTTGTGATCATGCATACATATGTATAATCCTGGTGGCAGGCTTGTTTATGATTCTTTGTGTGTGTGTGTGTGTGTGTGTGTGTGTGTGTGTGTGTGTGTGTGTGTGTGTGCATGTGTGTATATCGGGGGGCTTACACACCTGTAATGCACTGCCCCTCTGTATTAGGGTGAGACACGTGGAGCAAGCGGAGCGTGTAACATGTTATATAGGTCATGTAACTCGAAGTCATCCATGTGTGAAGATCATGGAAGCTCCCTCTCTTTCTGATCGTGTCTGTTGGTGAAGGCTTGAGTGTGTGCATTATGGGAGATCGTATACATCACATGAAGTAAATAAAAAGCAAAGTAGTACGTTTATATTTGTACACAGTTTATGTCATGAACCAATGACAGAAGTGCTTAATTTAGATTAATTCTAAAATCGTTTGGACCAGCTCATGCAATTCCACCAACACACTTAACCACACATACAGAGTCACCAAGAGGAGGAAGTTTTCCAAGTCATTTGTAAAACCCAAGGTGACCCCCTAATTGGCTGCATAATTGTGATTGGTTTAAAAACACAGAAAAGGGGGAAAAAGGCAAACTCATTCAGCGGGCCATAAGTGGCAGGGTCAGGCTGAAGGAGAGGTTTAATTTGGTGGTGTATCGATGTCACCCCACAATTACAAACGGTTAGCCAAACACAACTCTAGGCACTTCAGCGAGGTAACAGTGGGAGCCATTACCCCGCTCGTAATTAGAGACACTGCGTAAACTGCAAACCTCACGAGCAGAAAGGAGTTCATTGTCAAAATGTCAAAGAGTCACATATTATGCAGAGAGAGGGAGTAGCAGAGAACATTTAAGAAGGTGTGTGTTTTGTTTGTGTCTGTGTGTAAAAGGGGATGTGGGGACGCAGGGATGCATCTCTTCAACGCTAATTAAGACGCTCATTAGTGAGATCGCCACAACTGCGCCTTGCCTCCAGCTTGGCCTCGGCCCACACTGGGGGAAAGTGATTACCTGAATTCTTTAAGTAATCAGTACCTCAGCTAGGCAGCAATCAGTCTGTTTGGATAGGGTGTGTATGTTGATTTGCTGCTTTTTTTGGAAACAAAAGTGGAAGTGTGCAGAAAATCCTAGAATTCTTCCTGTTGCCTGCCAAGTTTATACATTAAAAAAAATAAAAAATCTTGAAGCCATGAATGTTGAGAAGAAAAAATGATTAAGAAAACACATCTTTTGCTGTACTGGTCACAAGTGTGCAGGTGACCCGGTTCAGGCCCCAATCCAGGATTGTGTAAACCAAGCTGTACAGTGTTGATAGAAACAGCGTGCTTTCATTCCTCTGTACTCTAAGTCACTTTGGTTAAACACACCTGCTTAAATCCCCTTGTGCAGACTGCATGTGTATGTATTTTGGCTTGCATGAAAATAGATTTTTTTGATGTTAGCCATGCCACCATCCTACGCTAATTAGCACGTGAAATCCACTTGACAAGACCAGACAAAAGCTTGAAAAGGTGTTTGTGTGTTCGGTTTGGGTGATGCCATTTCATGCAATGCACCATGGCTCTCAGGATGCATCATTGCTGAGACACAAAAAGGAAAGAGCATTAAGGGGCCTGTCTGCTCCACACTACTCTGTTCTGGTCTGTTGTGTTGCGTTATGATGCTAGCCTGGCTTCTAGCCCTAGCGTGAGTGCTCTCTCCACTCCACCATTGTTCCATTTGATAGCACTAAGTGACTGATTTAGGTTCAATGCCTGCATGGAGCAGACAGGCCAGCTGTGGGTTAAGCAGATAGCATTCAAGTGAGCTAACCCAATTCAAACCCAATCAGGCCGGGATTTATTGTCGGGGTCTGTATTTAGAAATCTGATAGTCTGCATCAGTCTCTTGACTAGCATCAGGAGAGATGGGCCTTATTTCTTTTAGCGGACGACTATAAACGGCAAACCATGTTTTCCAGCAGGGACATAAATTTCAGGATTTGTAGACATTACCGCAAATGGGAGGGAGGGACAGGGCACAGGAAGTGAGGATGGCACAGCTGCAGACATGGCTCCATGGTTCACAAATATAGTCTGTCTGTCTTTCTGGGAGAAGATGCGATTTCACACCAACCGAATCATACCATACTACATCTGAATGCAGAATAAAAGCAATCAGTACTTAAATACAGATGCCTGTGGAAAGCTTTTCTTCTTAAAAATCCACTGTGACTTGTGACAAAATTTGACTGGTCTGTCAATCACTTTTATTCAAGTGTGTGCACATGTAAAGTCTGTCAAAAGACAGATTTGGAATTTCAGAGATGTTTTGTTAGTTTGCTTTGAAAATAATAGGCATCACTGACTCAGATAAATGGATGTGCATACAATTTCTGAAAGTGATATTTAAAAAATGACCCATACAGAATCTATACCTTTATTAGGTTGTTAACCTACTAAGCACTAAAAAGTGGGAAGACAATTTCTGGGGAATAAGTGTTTCCACTGGGTGACTGGTATAGTAATATGTCTGGGAAATGAACAGTGTTTTCTATACACTTATCTCCCACGTCCTTGGCTGTCACAGATGTCTAACTTTTTCCTCAATTTTGTGACATGTCGGGTATAAACACAGTGTCTGGAGCTGACCATTATTTAAAGGACATTCCCACTGTGACTCCACATGACATGTCCCAGCTGACAACCAAAACACTTCCTGAACTTGACCCTATGACCTTGCTTAAAACTTTGCTATTTTCCACTTGTTATCAAAACATAGTGTCAAAAGGGGAGACAATCACAGGCCTAGACCGAAAATCCAGACAGCTAATTTGTGCATTAATCCACATTATTAGACCACGACAGAAAAGAGGGACGCACAAAGGAGGGGTTTATACTTGTCTTTGAACTTTTTAAAAACACACATACCATATTACAGCAGATTTTATCCCACTACATTCCCTACAATCTTTAATAATTAAGACTTCTGTGACCATATTGAGTTTTTTTTTTTCTTTTTCTACTTCAACTACTTATTCTACCTCTTTTCTCTCTCACTCTTATTGTGAATTTTTTTTATTGCAGCAAATTATCTGCTTTATTGGTCAGGTATGTGGGCACATACAAAGTCCAGTTTTATGAAGCATTTAAGAATAAATAATAAAGTATCAAACTAATATGCAATCCTACTGTACATACTGTCAGAAAACTGGTAGTAAAAAAGACGCTGTGACAAGCATACACAATAAAGTTCTTCTGACTCCGATTGCCATTCTGAACCTTGAGTAAACACGAGTGTCCACATTAGTTTACTAAGCTGTTTGTGTGTGATTTACGAGTACTTATATATATGCATATGTGTGTGTGTGTTTGTAGTGAAAGCAGGAGGGACAGAGAAGTCTCAGTGAGCAGGAAGCCTGAGCCGGGCTGGCGACTGTCCAGCACAGGAGCCTAAGGCGTGGGCACGAGCAAGCCTGTCAGTCCCCCTGATCCCTTAATGATTGATCCAAACTAGATAGCCATCATTACCGCTCAGGCTCTCTCTCTTTCCAAGGTCCCCATGCCACCGTCTAATTTTTACCTTCCATTTGCATGTTCCCATTGACTAATGTAATCTTTCTTTTCTCCTTCTCTCTCTGTCTCTCTACTTCAACCTTTCTGTGTTTCTTTCTCCATCCATGTCCTTTTTTATATAAAAAATTTTGGCACATTTTTGGCACATTACAATGTATGAACGGTGAGGGAATAATGTATGCCAGTTGTTTAAAGTTCTCTGGACCCTGTCCGTAGTGAGCACAACACAAGTAGACATTCGACGCAGCCTGTGAGATTGCTGTACCTCTGTTCTCTCCCCTCTCTGTCTCTCGCACTGTTTCCCCTTTTTAAAAACAAAAGCTGCTGACCTTCCCTCCATTTCCCAGCTTCACACTTCCTTCAGCCGTTTCCCACCTTTTCCCGACGCAAAACATACATGGGCGGGCTGTGTTTTTTTTCTTCTGCCACCGCCATGATCATTTTAGTTTGTAGTTCTGTCCCACTTGGCTTTAATTTACAGTGTGAAAATAATTAGAATCTCACTTTTGTGAAGAGTGGAGTGAAAATGTAAACAATGCTTCCCTGCGGGCGGGTGCTTCATCACTTTGACAGGTGCATTTGAATTTGCCTGGGTGGCGGACAGGCTTGGTTATTTATGTGTCAGTCGCACATGGAAGCCCCGGCTGTGGCTGGGACTATGGTTGGGACCGAGACTTGGGGAAGAGATTGGAGCACTGTGGGATATAGGTTTTGATGTGGGAGAAAGCTGAGGATGGTGCTGGTTCTGGACCTGGTGCATGGAATGAGGCTGTTGTTGGTTCTAGCACTTTGAAACCGAAATGAATAGGAAACGGAGCTGGATGTGGAGATTGTAAAGTGGCTGATTATATTAATACTGAGAAGAGGAGTGGTGATACGGAGGAATACTATACTCATACTTTTAAACTGGCTTCACTTGGAGTAAAAGGAGAAGTATGGCTGGGTCTGGACATGGGACTGTTGTTGGTGGGGGGGGGGGTGAACGTACAAGTACTAGGTACTAGGTACTAGGTGTAATAAAATGTAGATGTGCAAAA